TTCTTCTCGTCCTTCCTCCTCCCTCACCTTCCCTCTCCGTCTCAGGCCTCGCTCCCTACTCCATCTAGTTCTCCATCCGTCCCTCCTGTGGCTATTCAACACAGTTGTGTTCCAGACAAACCATCTGGTGCACTTTATTAATGACTGACCCTACATGGCTTCGACGTCGCCTCGCTGCCACCGCTCGCTGTGTGTGTGCGTTTGCCTGTGTGTATGTGTGTGTAAAAACAGGTGCATGCTGGCTGATGAAGCGATGCTGTGTGCAACTTTAACCACTGAAGCAGGTGCACTGGTTACAGGGACCTCAAATATTTTCAGACTCTCTCACCTTTTACTCTAGCCTGTCAAGCACAGGTACACTCACAGTTAACTTATATATAAACCTTTAAATGGCCAGTAAAGAAATGCAGGAAGGGCAGTGTGATCAGGGAGCTCTCATTATGTGCAGTTAGCAAATCCACAGTGCTGTTTAAATGAAGCAAGCTGCCCCTGTGTTGCCTGTTTTCACATACTTAGCAATGCACTTCACAATGCTCATTCACAGACTTAGCATACGTTTTAATTTTAATAAATAACAATAACACTAGCTGCAAGGTGGAGCGGTGGTTAGCACCGTCACCTCACAGCAAGAAGGTCGCTGGTTTGCGTCTTGATGAGGACACCGGTATCTTTCTGCGTGGAGTTTGCATGTTCTCCCCGTGCAGCGTGGGTTCTCTCTGGGTTCTCCGGCTTCCTCCCACAGTCCAAAAACATGTTGAGGTTAATTGGTGATTCTAAATTGTCCGTAGGTGTGAATGTGAGTGTGCTTGGTTGTCTGTCTAGTGTAGCCCTGTGATAGACTGGTGACCTGTCCAGGGTGTCCCCTGCCTTCACCCTAAGTCAGCTAGGATAGACTCCAGCACCCCCTCCCCCGTGACCCTAGTGAGGATTAAGCGGCGTATAGATAATGGATGGATGGATGGACAATAAAGCTACCTACAAAAATAATTTTTAAAAATGCTGATTTGCTAATTAAACATGGTCTTGGGAACCAGTAATATGCCACAGTCTGACATTCAAAGAGCTGCCTGTAAAATAAAGTCTTGGATAGATTTGTGCTGACATCCAAATGAATGAGAGCGACGGAGTAGACAGAAACAAGCACAGAGAGGGAGAGAGAGAGAGAGAGTGGGGGGAAAAAAAGAGGCCGAAAAGATGTAGAACTGTGGTTGTCTGGGGATTGATTCCTCTAAGACACACTCAGCTTCCCCTCAGAGAACGAAGAGGGGAAGGAAAAAGAGAATGACTTATGAAGACACTCCACTTGAAAGAGAAGTGTCAACACTTTGATGGTAAAGAGGGAGGGAGCACAAATGCAAGAAGAGATATAACATACAGTATAGGGCACAGCATATGTAGGAGGTCAACTCCAAAGAGAAGCAGGTCAAAGAAAAACATTTCAGGCACAAGCACAAAAGCAAGTAGCATGTGTGCAACGGCTTTAATAATGTATCAACTGCTGCATAGAACGTTCAACATCTTTTGGATCCTCGTATTTATTATCATTATTATTAATACATATTATTTATAATATACTAAAATAGAGCAACAGGATTAAGAATGTAAGAAATTTGCACTGCATTTGCACTGAGGCATATCATCACACTTGCACTTTTTTTGCTTCACTGTGGGGATTGTGCATTCACTGTGGTGGTAATTAACAATTTCATGCCAAACAAGCTGGATCGATCCCATCTGAGCCAAACAAATATATCTTCATCTCATTTAACCAAAGACTGTTCTTGCAGTATTGATGACAAGTTTACAGTTGTAGTTTAGTACCAAAGACAAAGGAATGGTTTAGTTTTTGGATGCTGATGTTACGCATTGTCCTTCATTCTGCCTGAGGTGTCACAGATTTCTGCTAATAACTCCTGTACTAAGTCGACAGCACTGGCCTGTCTGTTTTTCACAGTATAGTGCGCTGTCAGTGTGGTTCTAAACCTTGTGATTACTGCTGCAACTGCGTTTCGATCAGATCTGTACATTTCTGTTGTAATACTTTCAATTCCATGTGGAGACACAGCCCATAAATCCAAACCTGATGCAAGAAGGCTAACTGGAAATCACTCGTGTACTCAGTTTTGTTTCTGTAATCACAGCGATCATGTTTTCACTTTTGTTCTTTTGCCGTTTGTGTCAGCAACATATTCTCTCACGAGTGCTTGAGTGTTTCCTCCTGAATGATGTGGGATCATCTGACATTTAGGTGATGTTTTACACTGTAGCAGGGGCAGAACTTCATCTGACCAAAGATATGTACAGTTAACTATGCATCAATCTCACATCGAACTGAAGGAAAAAAGGCAAACAGAAGCATAATGAACACAATGAGAAGAAATTAAAGTTACAAAGCAGAGACTTCAGAGTGTTATTTATTTTATTTTTTTTTACAACTTAATTATAGATGACTGTGACTCTGCCAAACAATAATGTAGCTGCGAAACCTACGAGGCAAAAGGTCAAGAAATCGCTGGTGCTGACGGCGACGTGTTCAGTCTGTGTTGCTTTCTCACTCTCTCTCTCTCTCACACACACCTTTTCTAACAATTATGGCTTCATTAGCTGCTAATTGTTTCAATTGGCAGCAGATTGAGAGAGAGAGAGAGAGAGAGAGAGAGAGAAAGCCAGTGAGGCTATTTGTTACAAGTTGTGTGGTTGTGCAGAGAACAATAAACGGCTTAAATGAAACAGTAACTACCATGTGTTAGTTCTTCAAGTGCTTCAAGATGCAGTTTTCTACTTTGGTAATGGCACTTAGATCTCAAGGGAAGTCAAGGGAAAATGCTTCAGACAGTAATTGTTCACTTAGGGAGATAGTGTAGCTCTAAAACTTGGCTTGACTGACAGATGTCGTATCCCGTCACAGTCAGGTTGCTCATCCCACCGCGGTTCTGCTCAGGTGTTCTCTGCTTTGAATGTTATTTTCTCTTTGGGTTTTCGGCATGTTTATGCAGGCTTTATGCATTTAGACATTTACACATAACACTGTGTGATTTCATATGCGGCCTCCGTGTGTGAGTCAGCTCACCCCGCACAGACGCACTTCTGATGGTTCTCAGGATTAGGGATATTAAAATTCATGCACATGTCATGACAGAACTGGAACACGCTTTTACATTTTCAGATGACAGGATGCCGTCCTATGACTCCCTGATTCACACACGTGCAACTATGTGTGTGCTTGCGGCTTTTGCAACAGACATGTGCAGCATCAGAATCTTTTCCTACAGCACTCATCACTAAATGTCTCCTGTGGAACAATTACATTCATTCAGTTTCAAGAATATTTCAGTTATTTTTTAAGCTGACTTTGTTAAAATATTGTATTTTTTTTATATAGATGAACATATAAAATGCTAAATTAGAAAAATCTTAAAGAAACAAACCCAGAAAACAGCAAAGAAAGAGAGACAGAACACTGTCCCAACTAGGAAAATATTGGTGGCACTAGAAACATGTTTAGTAGCAGCATTATGGTGGAAATTCTGAGAGAAAAACCATCACAGCAAACTAGATGTCTTTCCTGAGTCTTGAGGGTGTCTCTACATGTCCCTTTATTCATTTTGTAAAATGTGATTTCACACAGATATGTTAACCATATCCTAATAAATCTTTAAATTGTAATGAAATGATTTTCTAAAGCTTGTTTGCTTCGTGCACTTTAGGTTTAGCGAGCATTGCCGCAGTTATACATTCATTTTTTAGAGGCACTGGAGCCTCGGGGGGATGCAGATGAAGATTAAGAGGCACTATTCATTTTAAAAGAAGTGACATGGATGCATCTGTTTTGTAAAGAGTAAAGACATTAACCCCATGAACCCTTGGCTATTTTCAAGGTAATTTCACTGCCTTTACTTTTAACCTCTTCTCTTTGTCATCATAAGTATCTGCATGCGGAAACATAAGATGTACTTGGAACATGGCAAAGGACAGAAATGCACTGCGCTTCATTAATGCATCCCTTTTCAAACAGCACGGACCGTATGAATTCATCTAAGGCTTTTCAAAATGACCCAACCTGAATCCAGTGTCGAATCTGCTTATTTAATCTAAATCTATTCAAACGTCTAAGCGGATATATTTATGTTCGCAACGTTATTGAAAGATAAAATCGCTAAAACTCAAAAGATCCATCTGAAATCAGACACTGTTTTGAGTTGCCTAATTAATTCAGAGCCTGTATCAACTATCTGATATTGAGATAAATGTGATTAACGATAAGTATATACCTAAAATATGATTAAATGAGGGTTTTCATGCTGAATTTATATCATCAATTCCAATACCTACATTCTTTACATACTTAGGGTCCTAGTTTAGCACTGAAAGTGAATATTTTTGCAATTATCTAAATGCTATGAGCACGGGCATTACTGAAACCACATGAACCAATCAGTTGATGGTTTTACTTGAGAAAACTTCTGACCCTGTTGGAGTTGTTGGACGTACAGAAACACTGATTGTACAGCTTTTACCTTATGAGCAATCAGAGGCTGAGAACAAACAAAGCCTGGGTTCTCCATCAGATGCATACAGCACAGAAGCCTGTCAAGCTAATTCATGGAATGAACATTCATTACCGATTGCTGATATGACCGGCTATCTGTCATTTTCCCCAGCAACACAGACAAGCAGGAAGTGGGAAGCTACTCCCGAAATGTTTGAGAACAAGTGAGTGTCAAAACTCAAGTCATTGTTCACTGATTTGGCCAAAAAGAGAAGGTGCAGTTTGCAGGGTTACAGAAGCTAGCAGCCAAAAATGCTTGTGTATGCTGTGAGAAAACATAATTCACATTTAGCTGTGCACAGAAGCTACCTCATATAATATGTGTGTAAAGGCCTAATGGTGACAAACATACAGGTAACTAATGTGGTCACCGCTGCCACATTTCTATCACTTTCACCCATGAGCAGCTGAGTTTAGCTCATACCAGATCCATCAGTGTCTCCAAACTCACCACATTTGCAGGTACTTGCTCCATCTTGGCGGCAGGTGTACCGGGTCGGGGGTAGAACTGGTTGATGAAGAGGCTGGGGAATCGGTAGCATTTCACCAAGTCTACTGTCTCCTGGAAGTCTTCATCAGTCTCACCGGGAAAACCGCAGATTATATCTGTAGCAATGGTTACACCGGGGACTCTAGGAGAGAGACACAGACACTTTTTAGGTCAAACAGAAAGTTTCTCTTATTGCCTGGTTGTAAAATCGATTGAAAAACAACTGGTATTGAGACGTCTTTGAATAAGGCTCTTCATTTTTGTTGAACTTCTGAAGCTGCAAAGAAATTCTCTGGATATAAGATGTACATTTTTACAACATTAAAACTGAACAATATCAGCAGAACTATGAATCCAATCTACAACACTTGGTTTTGCATCAGTCCAGTCTGTTAAACCACTGGCTTTTGGTACTGTTGTTTAACTAAGGGCATGTAAAACATTTTCACTTTGTTATTCATTATTCAGTCAGAAAGCTTCATGAAGATTCACATCCTATAGTCCAGAGGAAATCTCTTTTGAAAAATGAACCGTAGTTAAAATAATAATAAAAAAACAAAACAATATATTTCGATATGACACTCTCCAGTAACTACTGTCTAATCAATTATATAACACTGCCCTTATGTGTGTGACTCACAGATACTTTCTCACTGTTGATTTATACCTTGGAAAAACTACCTGAGGTACCATAGTGTTAAAGGAGGCTTTCCCCATGGACTCATTCAGCCAATCAAAACCTGATTAGCAACCTCTGCTGCCGATCGTTAGCAATTGATTATTGACCAGCTGGCTCGCTGGATTTAATCGGGGCTGGTCTGACGGTATGGGAATAAATGCATTGATTGGTTCCATGTATTTTGTTTGTATTGACAGATGTGGGATGGCTTGTAAAAGAACTCCAAGGCTAAGTCATCGCTGTTTGTCAGAAAACAATCTATCCCTCAGGACATACTTGACATTCTTATTGAGATGAACACTACTTGGACATGCTGAGTTTCAATGACTGGGCTTGATCCCAAAGGCATTTATCATCATCTCTGGTGGCTAAAGTGACTGTCACTTACCATAAAGAAGTAAATTATCAGTGTGGGAATTATTTAAGAAATATGCAAAGGAATGAAAAGTATATTTGACAAACAGACTGTTTTTGAGGATTTAGTTGTTTCCTGGAGAGGTCTTTTTCTAGGAATGGCAGCTAATATGGAAATAATTGGAAATCATTCTCAATTTAAGCAAGCCAAGCCATTGATTACAAGCCTTCTATCAAAGCTCGCAATGCAGTTGAACAGTGGGGGCACTTTATGTAATGGGCTATAGTTATATGGTCAGCAGTCTGCTACAGGAAGGAAGGATGCTATTAGTACCAGACAAGTAATTTGGGTTTCAATCTATTCACTTGATTCATTTTATCTTTATTCTTCCACCACTTTTTCTCCCCCCTACTCCTCATCGTTCTTATAGATAAGAACTTGGCTTCAGAACAGTTATACAAAAGAAATACTGCCATGAACTTAAAAGCAAAGACTACTTTATCTCCTGTGGATAATCAAGAGAAACTTACAGACATTAAGACGAGAAATAAACACATCCGAGACCCACAAAAGAGCGAGACAACGCAACAAAGATATTAAGAAAAGAGTGGAAGACGTTTTCCCCGCTATCGACAACATGATGCATCTTTAATTACATTAACTTCCTGCATCTGCAACCCCGTGATAACCTCTGACCTATTGATGAGATCCAATTGGCTGATGGTCATTAATATTAACCAATGGCCTGCAGGCACAGGCATCCTTGACCTCTCAGATCTGCCTGACACTGACCCTATGGAAAAGTAAAACTACATAAATTAAAAGTAAAATGTGCATGGAATGGTCAAATGGTTGAATAAATGAATAATTCTCTATTTGTCATTAAAATTAACTTTTTGGATCCCCTCAAGCTATGATTCTAGCTCCTCTTGAGTATTTACCACAAAATGCACGGTTTAATCTCTTCTTTTATTAAGTAAACAAAGGATGATTTACAGTTTGTAGACTCTAGACCGCAACAATTAATCAAGTTAGGTGTCCTAAAAATCGAGGATATAGTTCATGTTTTCAACCTGAAGCCACATCGGGGTCATCAGTACTAAACTAGTAGGCGTGCAGGTTCAGTCCAGAGGCCATGTTTGAGAAATTTAGAGTAGTACATGGCATCTAATGACAAAAAAAAACTACTCTCCTCTCACAGGGATAAAAAAAAAAAAAGTCAGTGTAAACTCACATTATTTATTGCTATTTAAAGCTCTTGCATAATATACTCCCTCTGAGCTGTTTTATTAATGGCAGTGGGAGGGAATGTAAATAAAATTAGCAAAATGAACAAACAAGCATTTTTTTTTTCTTCTGGCCTCAATAAACAGCAGACTCTTACATCTCCACAGGGCTTGTAGATCTAATTTGCTGTGGCTCTTTGGTGGCGGTGTGGAGGCACAGACGGCCACTGTGTCCTTTTCATTCTTTGCAGCAGTACTAAAAAAATTGACACCGTTGCTGGGAAAAGAAATGTACAATTCAGGGCCAAGGGTGCAAAATAACACAAGGAGACAGAACATTGAGCGAGAGACTAGTGTGAATTGGCTTTTGTGGATTTTCCTAAGGTGGAGGTTGAGAGGCTAAAAAAAAACAAAAAAAAACATGCGCGCACACACACTGTCATTTTGACACCTCTGCCTCTCCCAGATCTGAGGGTGATAGAGGTGTGATGTGTGATACTAATGAACAAGAAGCACACAGATACTCTCCTTGTTAAAATGAGAGAGGAGAAACGTATCTTGTTATTGCTCACCTTTCAAAAACAGAGTGTGCGCGAAACAGAGAGAGAGAGAAAGCCCAAAGACAGAAAGAGAGAAAAATCAGGGAAAGACGACAGATTACATTTCAGCTCAGCGGGCTTTCAATTAAAGCGAAGTAGAGGGGGGATCTTTTTCTACAGCTTCAAAACTGGAAAACAGGTTTGTTTGTCTAACCCGGATTGAACTTTTGTCACAAAGTACTGGGCATAATTCGAACAAAAGATAGGTGAGATCTGCGCTGCCTGTTTTCACTGTTATGCTCATTCATCTGGGTTTGAATCGCATTTCTGTTCGAAACACCTGCTAAACTCATTCACTGCGCCTGTCCAGATTTAAACAGAGCTCAAATGCCAATTTTCGACTTCGCTGCAAATTCCTGCTTCATGCAAACAGAGCAGACTCACGCTATGTGTCTGATATTACACATGCTTTTGAAAGATAAACGACTTATCTGAGTAATAAATAGAGCGATCTGGATGCAGTCTTGCAAAAAAACACTGAGTAAGACCAGTCTCTTTGGTGTGTGGAAAGGCGATAAACGGACCGAGCAGAACATGATCTATCAAATGAGATGCTATCTGCTGTTAGGCTCGAGGAACGAGTTAATGTTTAGTATTGATCAGCCAAAGATTTTCCACAAAATCTACTGTATGATGCAAAAAAAGAAGCCATATACAGCATGTGAGGCAGGAACAAAGGAGAAAATAAACACTATAACGACACTGTGTGATAAATGCTGCAGGTATGCAACGAAAAAAAAAAAAAATGAGGCTCAACATTTTATACCAGAGCACATTTAAATAAAGAGCATAAATCCTCCAGTGTCCATCACCTTTATTGCCTCTCCAAATGTCATCATTAAATGCACCCTAACTGTATGTTTACAGGAGCTACATTTAATTAGATCTCTATTTGACAATGTCTGAGACTATGAATGATCTGCTGTAATGGAAAGTAAACTAATACCTCCTGAATATATTACGGACACATCTGAAGAGAAAAGTAAGGAGGAGGACTAATTTTTTCTTTTTTTTTTCTCAGCTCAATCGCTAACCTCATGACTAATGCGGAGATTCCCGCAGCTGCTCCGGAATAAAAAGCAGCAGAACCCTAAATCAAAAGACGTAGTGCAGCAGGAAAACAGGTCCGTGTTTGTGTGCATTCTGTCTTTTTTCTCCTGCTGCTCCACGGAGGTGGAAAAAGAGGCAGAAAGACCACATCCCCGAAGACGGTAGCCTCCATTAGCCGTGGCGTGCTATCGGGACGAGCTAGGGTTTGCACAGGGAGAGTGTGTTCATAGAAGACTAAATTCTGTTAATTAAAACTCCAGATAAGCACACAGTCAGTCCCCCCCATCTGCCTCAATGTGCTGAATTAAGCTTCATAAAACACACCATTGTCTGTGTTATTATTATCAACTCTTTGTTTGCTGAGGCCGTCGATATTCCCTACAAGAGCGTTTCCGAAACGCACCCGGCGCAGCCTCTTCATCATATATTCAAAATATGTGCATGTGTACGCAAGCGTGTTTGCACAACAGATGCCTGTGAGTCGGCCCCCGTGATAAGATGAAGGCGAGACCACTGGGACAGAAGAACCCTGAAAAATGACAACAAGGGAAGAAGGAGGGGAAAAAAAAAAAAAGAGTGTGGCGTGGAGGTGTAGAGAGGAAGGCGATGGGTAGAGGAGGATGGAAGGATGAGAGCGGAAGAAAGACAATCTGGGAAGGTAAATATTTATCTATTCATGTGTTGGAAAGACACCACGCTACTCATCTGTGCTGCAGTGTGTGTGTTCTCTGAAATGATAATGTGTGGCACACTGGGGCTGCTGCAGCGTAGGAGTCAGACGGTGAAGGCAAGGAGAGGAGAGGGAGAGCTGTAAAGAGATGCGCTTTAGGGAGATTTGTTGTCAAATGTTTAAAAAAAAAAAGAGAAAAAGTTTGGAAAGCTGTTGTCTTGAGGAAGCCCTAAATAAAATCATATTAACATGGAATCTGACAGCTTTACCATGGGGTGTAATTGCGCGTAAAAGAGCGAGAGAGAGAAACAAATTCTACAAGGACTGAAATATGGCATGTTGTGTGAAAATTCCATTCGGGTCTGACATAATCAACTCTTACGAGAGCCATCTGTGCACTCTTTAAAATGCACCTCTGATGTTATATTTTCCGCCTGACCATCTACAGTTTAATCTGCCTCTTTTTTTTTAATGATAAATCGATGCTCTCGGTTCGGATACATTTCTTCAAAATGCTGCTCGTGAGTCATCAGGTGTTACTACATCACTACGCACCTTGAATA